GGCCCTTTTTCCCACTAGCATTAAGTTGTCCGGATCAAGCCGAATTCATTTGCGACCGGCGTCGATCCCGTCAGTGGGAAGGTTCCCTATCCGCCGCGGCACGGTTCGGCTTGTAGGGCTTAGCTACGATCGTGAGATCGAGCTGGATAGGGAGCGCTCACACTGGGGTAAAGTTAACCGGATCGAAGCCGGTCGCCAATCAATTCGGCTTGACCGGAAAATTTTATGCTAGTGGGAAAAGGGCCAAAGCCGCAAACAAAATTCGGCCCTGCAGTTACAATTCAAAATGTTGCTAGGGTGCCGTAACCTAGAACAATTCTTCCTCTTGTCCCTTTAGGAGGTATGTGGCCTTATTTCAGATGATTATATAATAAATTGACGTTTACACTTGTTCATTCTGGAATGAGGTTGACTTGTTTCTTAGGGTGCCTACAAGAACGTCATGTGATAGATATTACTTACTAGTTGAAGTTTATATTGCATGGGTCTTTTTACCTCTGTCTACTTTTCTGACATTGAATGGCTAACTTGTTTACCGGAAGACTCATACTATTTTAGACAGATGTATACAGGCAAAGTTTTAGAACAATATATCTTATTAGCTTTGTTCAGGTACGCGTGTATAAAAAGATTTTGATATAATGATAATCATTATGTCTTGTTGTACGTTTTGGTTGAATGGTCTATAGATCGTGCGAGCATCGATAGATCGTCGAACGTAACTCGGGCGGCATACGCCCGTGTGTCGAGAGAGCTTCGGGCGACTCCTGTCTGGTTAAAAAGGTGGTCGTTGTGTTAACCAGACGGTAGTGTAAATTTGTGGCTTTTGTGGTAGTATTTGAGTTGGATCCTTCACAGAATTCCTGTTTGTATTTCTATTTTATTCTGCCAGTCCGCTCCATTACTTTGCTTAAAAAAATATAACGACAGGTCAAACATGAAAATTGGTCAAACTATTCATTTTTGGTGGATACACGGCCTTGCTTCATCTGCGTGCCATGTCATAGGGACTTCATTATCATAGATGTATTCCCAAGAGATCGCCCGAGCCTCGCTCAATGTGACAGCGACGATTTTCAAGCCAAAAATACGCGCGATCGTCGGTCGATCTCAAAATCGGCCGATCTTAGGGCGATTGACAACAAGTATGATGTTTTTAAAAAAACACAGGCGACGATTTTGTGTTTAATCTGTTCCGTTCTTGATACAATTGTTCTTTTCATATACGTACACATATAATTTAGGCCACAGCTAGTAAATTTTATAGATGATATCCTCCGCAGACTCCAAATCTAATGCGAGCGGGCGAAAAAAAAAACAAGGCCGGCCAGAAAAAAAAAAGGTTCCTACAATGTGAAATTTTGACTCAATCATTGTACAAATGGTTTTGATTCAGTAGGAACATCACATATACACAGTCAGCATCACATATCACTGCATCAAAGCATGGAGGTAGAAAAAAAGGCCATTTTCTACCTCCATGATCAAAGTAAGAAACATACAATAAATCAGAGCCTTTTCTTGTCTCCTCTCTTCCTAGTTATCTGCCATCCACCTTCCGGCATGGCAACAGACATCTTTGCCCATTTTCGGCATGTTGACCA